GATATTTGAAAATTCCATAATGAACAAAAACAAAATGGCGGATTTTACCAAAGTATTGTCATTTACAAAAACCGCTGAAGAAAAAGAAAATCAGATTTTCTCCAACCTGTACCGATGTCATCTTAGGCTTTTCATTTCTGGAGAGACTGAGTACTTGAAAATCGAAATCGAACAAATAGTCCAGTAGATACACTCATTTCTTTGCAATTTGTTACGGAGTGAATGTGCTAATCTCGTATAAACGATTATTATTATTTTGCTTCAGGCTTCATGAAAATTCAATCGAATTTGGATTTCTCAGAGTTATTTCAAAGAGAAAGAACTGTGGTACACAATGAACATTTGAAAATCCAATAATTGAAAGAAACAAAATGGTGGAGAATCCAGAATTTTTGTGGTTTTCAAAAATCTCTGGCGAATAAAAAAATGTTCGTTTTCCCAATCAGGACCGATACAATTTCAGATCATTGATTTCTAAAAAGAATGAGCACTCGAACATCTGAATCGAACAATTAGTCCAGGAGAAACACGTTCTTTTTGGCAAAGTGTTATGGAGTGAATGTGCCAATCCCGTGATAAGAATTACTTTTAGTTTGCTTCTGGCTTCATCAGAATTCGATCGAATTTGGATTTCACTCCATATCACTTTGCCAAAAAGAACGTGTTTCTCCTGGACTAATTGTTCGATTCAGATGTTCGAGTGCTCATTCTTTTCAGAAATCAATGATCTAAAATTGTATCGGTCCTGATTGGAAGATTAAACATTTTTTTATTCGCCAGAGATTTTCACAGAAATTCTGGATTATCCACCATTTTGTTTCTTTCAATTATTGGATTTTCTAATGTTCCATTATGTACTACAGTTCTTTATCTTTGAAATAACTCAAAGAAATCCAAATTTGGTTGAATTTTCATGAAGCCTGAAGCAAAATTATAATAATCGTTTATACGAGATTAGCACATTCACTCCATAACAAATTGCAAAGAAATGAGTGTATCTACTGGACGATTCGTTCGATTTCGATGTTCGAGTACTCATTCTCATCAGAAATGAATAGCCTAAGATGACATCGGTACAGGTTGGAAAAAATCTGATTTTCTTTTTCTCCAGCGATTTTTGTAAATGACAATACTTTGGTAGAATCCGCCATTTTGTTTTTGTTCATTATGGAATTTTCAAATATTACTCTGTATACTATAGCCCTTTAGCTATGAAACGACGCCAAGAAATTCGAATTCGGTTGAGAAATGATGAAACCACGAGGAAAATAAAAACTTCCGCTTTTTTTGTGACCACCCGATAGAAGAAGCGTTCGATAACACTTCCTATGAATCGATAGAGCGAGCCAAAAACATCAAGGGGTTCGAGGCCCCAACAACAGGCTGGATACAATCAATGCTCAGGAGTTGAAGAATGAAAGCTACACGGGGAAGCAGCTCGGTAACTGCACAGGCAACTAGAGGTTGCCCCCAAGGAGGGGTACTGTCTCCTCTTTCATGGTCTATAGTTGTCGATAACCTACTCAACAAACTAATCACCGCTGGCTTAGATATTCAAGGCCATGCGGATGACATAATCATAAAAATAAGAGGTAAGCATGGTAGGATTTCATCAAACCTGATGCAGACTCATGAAGGCTTCAGAATGCTGAAAGACTGGTGCTTTTAGGAGGGCTTGAATGTCAACCCAAGCAAAACAGTCATCGTTCCATTCACAAAAAAGGAAGATCGATCAATTAAAAGGAACCCGTTATGGATAGGACGCCCATCAACTTCTCCGAAGAGGTCAAATATCTAGGCAAGAAACTCATGTGGAACCAACACTGGACCGAAATCGTCAATAGGGCAATTTCAGCACTCTGGATATGCCGAAAGATGTTTTGTCAAACGTGGGGTCTCAAATCAAATATGATCTGATGGTCTCACCTCACGGTGGTCATACCCGAGGTCACATACTCTTGCTCCTCCAATGTGGTGGACCAATAGTAAGAAAAAAACAGCACAACTTGAGCTGCAAAAAATCCAGAGACTCGCTTGTCTAAGGATCACAGGGGCTATGCGCACGTGTCCTACAGCAGCAATGGAAGCTTTGCTTGATCAACTACCCTTGCATATTTCTATCAAGATGACTGCAGCCATTGTCGATCTAAATGAAAACCTAGTAGGCGACCTAGTACACGAGGAGGTACAATAGCTCTTGCCTACTAACTACCTAACTAGGTTGTCATCTAGAACGACAATGCTGCAGCAGCATGCCATCCAGGCTCAGTTTCGATCATGCCTTTGAAGTGGTTATGAAAAGTCGCCCTAGGTACGGTTCTGCTGAGCCTCAGCTGGACAGAGGGTCATTTGTTTGGTTGTTTGGTACACCGATGGTTCGGAAATGAAAAAAAGGGAAGGCGCGGGTGTATATTGACCCGGATGTAGACTCTTTGAAGTCTTAGGTCACTCCCCCATTATCTTTCGAACTGAAATGCATGCCATCAACCTATGCGCCCAAAGGTGCCTGAGCGAAGGTCTGAGGGGTGCCAACATATGTATCTGCTCAGACAGGCAAGCCGCACTGAAAGCCCTAAAATCATTTGTTTTTACATCAAAAATTACATGGGACTGCTTTGAAACACTCATGCAACTGGAAAAGGATAACAAAATCACACTCATGTGGGTTCTAGGGCATGAAGGAATCAAAGGAAATAATGCAGCTGATTGCCTTGCAAAAAAAGGTGCAGCATCTGCACTCTTTGGTCCTGAGCCTTTTCGTGGGACGAGCAAATGTCACCTAAAGGGAGAACTCAGAAAATAGAAAGAAATTGAAAAGTCCTCCTACTGGAGAGCAACTCCAGGTCAACAACAAGCGAAAAGGTTCCTTAACCATTAGCAGAACCTAGCCAAAGAGCTACTCAGCCTCAGCAAACCAGAGCTAAAGCTTATCACATGCTTTCTCACAGGACACTGCCCCATGGGGTACCACCTCATGTAAAGTATCAGTCCGCCAAAGGCTGAATCACCTAGAACAGGTCTATCTCACACCTGCTAAGGTAGAAAATTCAACCTTCAGGAATATGCTAGGATTCATTAGAAGTCTAGGGTAAGAGGACCAAGACTAGACAAGGGTAATCATAATAGATCTTCTAGGTTGCAGTGATCGAGAGGTCTCCCAGCCTATACGACCCATCTATACAATCTACAATCCACAATTTGCAATCTACAATTCATGATCTCGAGTATTGATATGGTTTCATTGTCAGAATTGATTGATTTATATAAAGTAAATCACATAATTTATCACTAATCAATCTGATGAGCATCAATAAGTGAATACGAGGTAATTTCGATATCTTCTAATTATTGAGAAATTTCATCATGAAACTTGAACAAAATCTCATCATGAAACTTGAGAAGGATCTGATACACTTCGAGACAATGGGCTTGTTTTAATAAACAATTTTATTTTACGATTTTCAAGTATAGATACGAACCCAAACTACCTTACTGTCACAAACTGTTTTGTTCGCAGAGTTTCCACATTTAATGATAATAATAATAATAATAATAAAGCGTCTTTATTCACAATGAGGAAATTAATTAATCGGGTTGCATCTCGATGCAACACGATACGACGCATGAATTGTGTATATCTCAGTACACCCCTACGGTGAACGTGAATCCTCATTATGTGGCTATGCTCTATTATTGGTTGTTGAAAAATATTAGTAAATTTGGTGCTCCATCTTCAGAAAATGGTATTTATGATCATTTTGATTGGAGGTAAACATCTTTAAGCTTGAAAAGGAATATTCTCAGATATAATTATGAACAGAAACTTCAAGCTTTACAAGAATGGCGTCGAGATATAGTCGTTTGTGATTGGTGGCATGATTGCGGGGTAAATATCGCTTATCGCATATTATTCAACACGGAATAATGATATGTTCTTGTGGAGATTGAAATTTAAAAAAAATTCGGTGAGTGGTATATTATCGTGAAAGATTTTTTTGTATGTTCTGGTTCCCACGAAGAGGGATATCCTGTAATGTTCAGAGAACATCGTGAGAACCAAGGGAAATGAGGTAGGAATTGGTGTTCTTCTTGAATTTCTGGAGTTTATATGCCTCGGGGAACACCTCCCTTGGCAATGTGTTCCAGGGCCTCGCTGTTCGTTGTATGAGCGAGTCTTTGGAAAAAGATGTTCTGCAGTTCTCCAAAGTGACCACGATGGAGTGCGAAGCCTCAACTCGACGGATTAATCTCGCGGGGACTGCCAAGGGAGGTACAATTGTTGATATTTCAGAGCATCGTCCATGAAAATATCTATGAAATAGAGCCAGATCGCCAACTTTTCTACGGTGTTCCAGAGAAGTGAGTGAGTTTGTGAGCGAGGCATCACTCACGAGACGAATTGCCCTTTATTGGACAGAATCTAACAGTTTCAGTTTATGTTTGGGTGCTGCACTCCAAATATGGGAACAGTATTCCAGGACAGGTCGGATCTGTGCCTTATAGATCATAAACAGCTGACTGGAAGTGAAATAGCTCCTGGCCCGAAACAGAAAACCGAGCAAAAAACCAAGTTTTTGGGATGCACTTTTAGCAATTACACCTGATATTTCATAATCAGTATTTTTATGTTAATAACAAGAATAATAATGATCAAAATCTGCATCTCTAATAAACATGTTATAATTGTGATACATGTGATTTTCATGTGATATTTCTGTTGTTTTCAACCATTTCAAATCGATATTTCATTGTTCGACAAACGAACATCTCATATGGACATCTATAAGTTATCATTCAGAATATCCTTTTGATATCTGCTGATGGATACCCTATGAATATCCTTTTCATGTCCAAGGATATCCCGACCAGAAATGTGAAACGGATACCCATATGAAAGTTCTCCCTCACCTCAGGACACCCTGTATACTTGAATATAAACTTAATCTGTTCGAGTACTCAACAGGTGTTTCAGTACAGGGCTCTTGAAAAATAGTGCGATAGTGACATTATTATGAATGTGGGTTGTGGAATCATTCAATTCCGAATGTTTGCCTTGAAGCCAGGCTATTTTCGAGGAGAACGCTATCTGGCTTCAACTGATTGAAAACATAAAACACTGGGTGTGTCAACAAAACGGTGAATTTATTGAATCAGTGCGTTTGTGTCGGTGAGCGCGATATGAGGAGAATTTTGGGAAATGCAGTCAAATTGTTTTTATTCTTCTGGACTTGCAAAGTTATCTATCGGATGTATCACCAGAATATATTTATGGCCGAGTCTTTGGACACAGGGGATACTTTGGAATTGTTTGAAGCTGGAAGCGAGAACGAAAATTGTAAGATCCCACGATAATTCTACTTGATTTTTTGGGATTTTTTCTCTAGAAGTTGTGCTCTGCACTGACAGTGTCAAACTATATAAGCAGAGCACAACTTCCAAAGAAAAATATCTTGCATTTTCATGTTGAGATTTTTGCACGAAACGTCCGAAGATAAGTAAAAATTCGATATTTTTTCAATATATATTTCTTTCCTTCAAACATTTCTCAAACAAAGTGTCACTGACAAGCTGTTGGATTCTTCTTTCAGGCTCCCTGATAGAAAAATTTGTCAAACGCAATGACATTTTGGGGCAAATCATCTGATTTGTCCTACTACAAATATATTGAAATAATACGAATATTTTTATTTTATAGAAAAAAGGAGAGAAAATCCCAAAAAATCAAGTAGAATGAATGTACGACCTCCTCGATTAACCTACAGACACTATCCTACGATAAGTTTCGTTTTTTTTTTGTATTGAAGAGCATCAGCCCAAGAATCGTACTTAACTTCACATTTGTCACGTAAAACGTCCAAAAGGCGTCCCGTGAACGTTACTAACGAGTCACGCATGTGTCGATTTTTCCAAATTTTTTCGATGATATTAGACGCATTATTCCAGATTTTCTGGGATTTTCCTATGAAATAAGAGTATGAATATTATTTCAATATACGTGTAGTGAGGACTAATCAGATGATTTGCTTCAAGATGTCATTGCGTTTGAAGAAATTTCCTATCAGAGGACCTGAAAAAAAATTTTCCAGCTTGTCACTTAGCTTTGGACGTTTCGGGAACGAATCTGCTCCCGTTTTCAACATAAAAAATGGATATTCGTATAGCAAATTCGTATTTGTTTTGATACGCGAAACGTCCAAAGCTAAGTGAAAATTTGATGTGTCTTTTATATACCTTCATCTTTTTTCTCCCCAAATCTTTTTAAATACAAATTGTCACTGACAAGCTGGTGAATTTGTCTTTTAGGCTCCGTGATAGCAAAATTCTTCAAACGCAGTGACATCTTGGGGCAAATCATCTGATTTGTCCTTACTACACGTATATTGAAATAATATTCATATTTTCATTTTGAGGAAACGAGGAGAGAAACTCCCAAAAAACATTTTTATGATGCATGTTGAGCTGAATATTCATTCTTCGGTGTCTATCAGTAGTCTGCAGCTCAGAGTTTGCTCAGTCTTAATTATTCACCCTGTATAGTGAGCGTATGTTGGATTGTTTCCATTTGAAAACAAAATCATATACAGGCTGATTCACGGTGGATGGTACATTATACGTTTCTGGAGAACGCAACGTTGCCGCTCATATTGAAAAGTAGCATCATCTTTGATTTTTTGATGGGACACCCAATATATTATTCCATTTTCAGATTCTTCCTGAAGAGCTGATCTCATTTATCTATTATACTTGGGGTCTGGCAGGAATGATAACAAATATATAGGGTGTGAAAAATCGAGATTTTTCAACTTCAAGAATTTCTTGTGTCGAAACTATTTATAATTAGTCAAAGCGGTTTTCATGTGCCTATCTCAACTTTTCATGTACATTCAAATTGATATTCAACTGAAATAGATACAGGGTGGTCGAAAATCTTAATTCCACCGGCCCTGTACCTATTTCAATCAAATATCAATTAGCAAATGGAAAGTTGAGATAGGGGCATAGAAACCGTTTTGACACAAAAAAATCTTGAAGTTGAAAAATCTCGATTTTTCACACCCTATATCTGTAATTGTCACTGCTAGACCCCAAGTGTTAGAGGTCAATGAAATCAGCCCTCCAGGGTGAAAATCTGAAAATGGAATAATAAACATCAGGGTGTTCCATTTAACAAATCATAGTTGTTGCTACTTCTCAATATAAGCGGCAACATCGCAGCGCTGAGAATATTTTAGGTCGATAGGCACCAAATTTTCAGAATAATCCCAAGTTACGTTCTCCAGAAACGTCTAATGTACCTTCCACCGTGAATCAGCCTGTATATGATGTTCCTTAATGCGGTGGTTGAGTGTTTCACCTGTCTGACCAATATATACCTTAGGACATGATCCACAATTCAATTTATGTACTGCTGATACCTCTGACTCAAAAATTTTGTCTTCATTATTCTTGGTAAATCTTCACAACCTATTATCATATGTTTTATATAAGCTACTCTCAAGGCTTGTTTATGCAGGAAAAAAGCTAATTTTTCTTATGCTCTTCTCGGATCTCTCCTCAACGGAGTTGAGAAATATATTGTCTATGCAGATTCATGTTTTAATCAACGACGCAAGGTACCTATAGCTCTGTCATTTTCTTTCAATTTCGATAGTTGATAACACTACAGTCTAACTATAGATGAATAGCTCTCATTTCCCTACCATACTGCCGTACTAAGCAAAAAGGGCGTATCTGACATTTCTGTCGAAATTGAGATAGGTAATTATATTTGTCTTATCTCGAAACACTCATGCATCTTCTGGTAAGGTTTCAATGTCGTAGCGGCAAAATTAAGAGCTCAAATCATGTCTCAAATTTGTCGTATCTGCAATGTTTAAACACTTTACCAAGTTCAGATGTCTTATCCAACATTTACCAGAAGCTCAAATAATGTCGTATCGGACATTCTGTTGAGCAAATTTGACGTATCTCCAAGAAATGTAACTCACAACAATTTTTGTTGAAAAAAGTAATTCAACAATGACATACACATGATATAATTCATAATATCGAATAAAGCTCTCATGCAGATTATTATGAGTTTCAGATTGAAATCAAAAGGATGATGATGGTATACTGATTGAAACAGATGAACGGCAATATCTCAGAATCTAATATTTGGTAGAAGTCCATGGTTGATTAAAGTGGAGTGCAGTAGAATCAATAATTTGTCAGATACTACCTTTTTGCTTAGCACGGCAGCATATACTCATGAGGTATTCCAGATCAGCCAAGCTATATTCCATTTCTTCTTCTTTTTTCCAGATGAAAAATTCCTCATCGATACACCAGGTTGTACAATTCCAAACTTAGACGCTTTTAGTCCCGAAATCGCTCCATTCGTATACAAAATGAAGAAGCTTGTTTGCACAGACAAGCCTCTCCTGACCTACATACAGAGGAGTTCCATTGGATCTATATTACATGTGAATAAATCCTCATCAGACTATAGCTATCTCCAAGTGAAATGCTGTTACAGAGAAGTCACTAGGGGTCGCGCAGGACAAAATATTGATAACGACATTAGGTATGTGAGGTGTTTTTGAAATACAATAGTGTGACAGCTCGGTCACGTTATTGCACTAAAAGAGACGTAGGTACTACTAGAGTTCCTAAAATGTACTTGACACTGCTGTTTTGACGTTTTTTGTTTATGGGTTGCGTGCAAGAACTGTCAGATGACCGACACTGGAGGCAAAACATTGAAACACAATGTCACTTTTCTTATTTGTTTACAAGTGATCGAAATAGTTTTTCACAATTATTTTGGCATATGAATCGTATTTTTCCGCTATTCATCAATTCGCTCAATGCCATCACATTGTGCTGTTGTAAAATGGACAAAAACTGCAGCGGAAGATGAAGGAATCCGGATGGTACATTATGATTAAAAGTAAGTACCTACTATAGTCACTCACCTATAGTTTTCATTTTTTAAATCTGGTAATTTCCATGATTTCTCATCGGAATTCCTTCTGCGATAGGAGCTAATAGCAATACACCTGAAATTTCTAAAATAATGCAAGATTGGATTCATGCAATCAATCGGGAGAACTGGTCTGACATGCTGACGATCGTATGTGTTGTAGACATTTTCAATCTATTAGCAGTATTAGCTTGTATTGCAGGAGTGGCAGAAGGCAGAAGGAATTTTAATAAGGAATGACAACATTTCATGATGATAATGATAACTATGTGAGATTACTATTTACCTGAAAAATCATATTCCTCAGTCTCTTGCTGCATTTTTTGTACATTGTACAACAGCACAATGCGAAGGCATGCTTGAATTAATGAATAGCGCAAAAAAACGATTCGTATGCCAAAATATTGTGAAAAACTATTTCAATCCTTTGATTCCTCTGTAACCAAATAAAAAAGTGAGGTGTGGTGAGGTTGTGTTTCAATAATTTACAGAAGAATGAGGTTGTGTTTCAATATTTTGCCTCCAGGGTCGGTCATCGTGCACGCGACCTATAGGTCGCGTGCAAGAACTGTCAGATGACCGACCCTGGAGGCAAAACATATTTGTTTACAAGTGATCGAAATAGTTTTCCACAATTATTTTGGCATATGAATCGTATTTTTCCGCTATTCATCAATTCGCTAATGCCATCACATTGTGCTGTTGTAAAATGCACAAAAACTGCAGCGGAAGATGAAGAAATCCGGATGGTACATTATGATTCAAAAGTAAGTACCTACTATAGTCACTCACATAGTTTTCATTTTTGAAATTTGGTTATTTCTCTGATTTCTCATCGGAATTCCTTCTGCAATAGGATCAGCTAATAGAAATATACCTGAAATTTTTAGAATAATGCAAGAAGATTGGAATCTTGCAATCAATCGGTAGGACTGGTCTGACATGCTGACGATCGTGTGTGTTGTAGACATTTTCAATCTATTAGCAGCATTAGCTTGTATTGCAGAAGTGGCAGAAGGCAGAAGGAATTTTAATAAGGAATGACTACATTTCATAATGCTAACTATGTGAGATTACTATTTACCTGAAAAATCATATTCCCTAGTCTCTTGCTGCATTTTTTGTGCATTGTACAACAGCACAATGCGAAGGCATGCTTGAATTAATGAATAACGCAAGAAACACGATTCGTATGCCAAAATATTGTGAAAAACTATTTCAACCTTTTGATTCCTCTGTAACCAAATAAAAAAGTGAGGTTGTGTTTCAATAATTCACAGAAGAATGAGGTTGTGTTTCAATAATTCACAGAAGAATGAGGTTGTGTTTCAATATTTTGCCTCCAGGGTCGGTCTTCGTGCACGCGACCTATTACGGACACTAGACAAGCAGTGACAATCAAACATAACCACAAACGATTCTGAAGCAAATCATTATGTTTTGCCAGACAAGGACAAGAATATGTTTTCTTCTTAGATAAAGGATCCTCGCATCTTCCTTCCTCCACAAGTCCTGGGAAGAGTACATTCGTAAATCTTTCTCTGTATTCGATTCTTTCATGAGAGTGCATCGCGTCTCCTCGAGAATTATTTCTTCTCGAAATATTGAATGATATGGCTGAAGGACCTCAATGGAGGTCGATATCAAGTTGGTATGTTATGTACATATAACGAAATACATCTATTCCTGTGAAATAAGTGTCTTATAATATGTAGGTATATATTGGAATAAGGTTCTTCTCGATACTCGCTCAGTTTATAAATTGTGGGTTCGGCTCTTCCAATACGATCCTATTCTTCAACATCGAATCTTCCGTTCTGAAGTGTACTTGATGAAAATGCGTTGAAAAATGTTCTATATCCTACATCAAGAAATTTGAATACCTCGCAAATTTTGTGGCCTGAACCTATATTCCTTGCCGGCCGCATCATATTCTGTTTCCATTTTTGTAGAATCACGTTATCCGATGGAAATTTGAATAGAGAGAATTGATTTCCCGTGTTCTCACAGTGGGAAACTGCACAAACTTGTATCATTCTCCTAATTTTCTCAATTTGCCAAACCTTTGGAATTTCAGTTTCCGCTATTTCCATCAATTTTTTTGTGGTTATGTCTGATTGTCAGTGCTTGTCATAGGTTACGTACTCTAATTATACAAAAAACATCAGAAGAGCAGTATCAAGTACATTTAGGAAGTCTAGGCGTCATCAGCCTTGAGCTGCAACTGAGAAACCTACCCAGCGATAACTAAAAATTGAAAGAATGAATTGAAAGTAAACAAAAATGTAATTGAAAGCTTCAAATTAAACGCTCTAAAATGAATAAAATAAAATGTTCCTTTATAATTTCAACTATCAACTTATAACCTCATTATACACCCTTCATATAATCATAAAAGCTTGTCGCGATGATCAAAATTTGATAAAATTGAAATCTCAAAAATTCAAACAGATTCTACAAAATTAAATTAGTACTAGTTCATTCACACAAGTAACTCGTGCGACAAGCTTTTATGATCATATAAATTGTGTATATTGCGGTTGTTGTTATTGAAAAACAATATTCTCAGATATATTTATGGACACAAAAAAACATTGAGAATTCGCATTCTCTCGGTTTATTCAACAGAAAACAACTACTTTCCTGGCTATATGCCACGTCGAATATTGAATTACATCTATTGAACACACACGATGAGAATTCGAAAACAATATCTTCTGAAGTAGAGAATTTGCATTCTCCTTTATATAAAGATATGAATATAATATCATTCTGAATATTCAACAGAAATCAACTACTTTTCTGGCTTGTGCCACGTCGAACATTGAATTATATCTGTTGAATATCCGAAAAGATAGCATGAAAAATCAAAATCCTCTGAAATTGAGGATTAACATTATCTCTCAAATTGGATAGAATAATATGATGTACCATGATATAAAAATATAACTCACCAATATGTTCAGTATTGAAATGAAAATTGATATGTATAGAAGAAGTATACTTGTATGAACTCTGACCTTGATGAGCCTGGAACTTCAAAAAAAATAATTCGTATCAGTGATATGGGAATTACATCTCTCACGAACAGGTTCCCTTTTACAACACATGCTGAACTTTTAGGTACTTTGCTCGACTCTGATTTGAGCTTTGATCATCATATCAATCATGTATGCGATATCAATATATCATACATCCAAATATAAGTTGATAGTTGAAATTATAAAGAGACATGTTATTTTATTATTTTTAGAGCGTTTAAATAAAAGCTTTCTATATTTTTTTTTCACTTTTAATTTATTCAATGACAGTATATTGTTGTGCTTTCAATTTTTGATTTTGTTAGTTTTTCAGAATGCCACCCATTTAAGAAGGCCGTACTTATCCAATCCGAGCTTATCAAAGTCGAATGTTCCACCGTATTCGGACTGGTGTATGAGAACATCCACTTCATCATGAAGCCTCCTGAGAAGCCAGTCAGCAATGCAGCTGACCCCAACGTCATCCTCATAGGGATCGACGGAGTTTCGAGGTCCAATCTTATGAGAACCATGCCCAAAACGCAGCAATTCTGCGAGAAGAACAACTGGGTCAATCTGAAAGGGTACAATAAAGTCGAGGACAATACTTACCCGAATTTTATTGCTGTACTAGCTGGGGTCAAGTTTGACGATCGAGTCTCGACAGTATGTGATCCTTATCATAAGGATTCATTCGAAAGCTGCAATTTCATCTGGAACCAATACAAGGATCAGAATTATAGTACTGCTTATGCAGAAGATGCGCCGACTATCAGTAAGAATGATCTTCCTTCTACAGTGCATTCCATTTGAAGACCACACGAAAAAACGGGGGAATATCACAATATAGTGGAAATTCACTTGACACCTTCATCTGATAGCTCAACTACTATATTTTAGTATAAATAGAAGTCCATAGCAATAACGCAGCATAGTCAGCTAATATGTTCGTTCGAAAATACGTTCACATAGAACAAACGCGGAATGTCCACTTCAAATATGTGAAGAAAAGAGAACGTCCAAGCTTACTGCTTGCTTTAATACAGATTCCATATGATTTTAATATGTTGTTTTCAGACTGTCAAAAGGTCAAAGTGAACTCTCAGACAAACAGAAGATGAGAAAAAAAAGAGATTTTTTTTCCATCTCCTGTGTAGCGTACGAGATTGCTACATGATGATTCCTTCTCATATCGCGTAGAATTTATAGAAAATGATCAAATCATAGAGATCCTAGCTGTACTGACAACTTACCGCTCATTAGGTAGTTAGGCAAGAATGGAGAAATGTAGCTGAGCAGATAATTGCGAGTAAACAATCCAGTTTTTTGACAATTTATTTGGACATTTCCCATTTTTCCCTTGAATTTTTTGTTCTCGATGATTTTTCCATTCAAATATGATTTTTTTTCTAGTTGTTCAGCTTTATTGGTCATTATACTCCATCAAACGAATCCAGGTGGTTTGATTCCAGTTTCTTTCAAGTTTCAAACAGTGAGGAGGTTTTAAACTTTGAAATGCGTTTTTCTCCGAACTCACTTTTTGTGACATTTCCCTTTTTTGCCCCTGTGGTCTTCATATAGATTGAGCCAAAAATCCAAAATGGGAGCATAGGAATCCATTTTGGATTTTTTTCCCTATGAATCAGTTGTCTTGCTTATTGCTGATTATCTCACAACTTGAATCAGTTATTTCCAGATAGTTATTATTATATAAATCACCTGATTTCTTATTCTTGGTAATTCAATTGTAGTTATTTTCGATAATATGATCACTCAAAGCCTTGGTTGTGAAAATTGTGATAAAAATATCATGTCGAGTTAATTTGGAGTAGGTACCTTGCATCGATTCCAGTGGTGGCGTTATGGCCAATTTGAATCTGATTCTTTTATTTATGTCGGATCTAGGAATTATATGAAACCCAATAGATTTAAATTTTTTTGAGTTTAAAGTTTGAAGTTTAAAGTTTTCTATACTCTCTTACTGAGGCTCTTGCGTTTTCTCTGTTACCTAGATACACAGTCAGTATATCAAATCTGATAAAATTTCCATTAGTGATATCACGATGTTCAGAATATACGAGATGATTATGTCGCTTCTTTGTTCACGAAATCGTGTTGCGGCATCACAATGGTAGCGGAAAAAATGCATGAAAAACTATTTCGAATGATTTTTAAAATTTTGAAATCGGTTCAAAAATAACTAAGCTGGAAGAGGGGACATTTATGGTGAATCACCCTGAACATATAGAACTACTACAGGCTCTTTCTTGCTAAGAACTTTAGAGAATCATTTCTCATTCAGGCACATTCAACTTGAAAAAAGTAGGATTCACCAGCCCTCCAACCGACTACTACTTCAGACCGTACTTCCTAGCAGCAGATCAACTTCCCCCAAAATATCTGTGCCTGAAGGCCCACTGCACAGGCCCAGAGAAAACCGGTATCAGAATGCAGAACCTGATAACCGACTTCCTGTCCACCAACAATGATTCCGCTCCAAGTTTCGGACTATTTTGGATGAACAGTTTCAGCCACGAAGGCCTCAACTGTCCTACGTCCATGGACGATGATTTTGCCGCGTTTTTCGAACGAATGCAAGCAGATGGGTATCTGGACAACACCATCGTTGTTTTCTTCAGCGACCATGGTTTCAGGTTCGGAAAGATTCGACTGACGCATGTTGGATGGTTGGAAGAAAGGCTGCCTTTCATTTATATCCATATACCAGAGAGATTTAGGTAAGTCAGTGTAAAAATATATAATCATTTTTCCAGGAGGAGACTTGAAAACCTGTTCAAGCCTTTTCCTATAGTAGGGGAGGCAGAGGCTGAAAAGGGATCACAGTACCAGAGGTTCGTTCGAGAGACCCTTTTCGTTCAGGTTTCTGCAGACTACTCTTTCGAGCCCTGATTTTGTTCCTTCTCCAACGAGTGATGGAGGGAGAGGTTTCTCCAGCAATGTGGTGACCCCTGCACAGGGCTGAGACTGTTCACTCTGAGATGTCTCCCTGTTTCCCAGAGGTCCCGTTATCCACACCATGGAACCTTGGTGATATTCATCCCTCGCCCAAGGTACCCAAGACATGGATTGGGTTGTCAGAGCCCTGTTCATGAAGCCGCAGCTACATGAGCAGATGGTCACAGAAAGCCCCATCTTTGCACACAGATGTCCACAAAACTGTCTCATCCGAGTGATTAGAATGAAGATGTTACATCTGCCAAGCAACCGTGGCTTGTCCTCCTAGCATCATGGTGAGGTTGGGCTTCAGAGGAGAAGTAAAATGGAAGAATTACTCAACAGAGGCCGATACAAGAGGTTGAAAACTAAAGAGTGAACAGGGTACCATCCAAGACGAATTGAAGATTGATAAGTAATCTACGGTACCTCGGGTTTGTAATTCCCGTACTCAAAAGTCATGAGTACCTGAATCACTATGTCTGCTTGCATTTCTATTCTTATCTGTATTCCTGCACCCACATATGTGTTATCTTGTTGCGCTTTTCTTGGATCAACGCAATTGCCTTATCGGCAGCCCAGCTTTCAGAAAGGAAGTGTTTTGCCGTTTCTGTCCCTTAACCGCATTGTCTGCAGAGAATTTCTCCATTGTACAGTCCCATTTTATTCACGTGTCCTCTTGTTGGGCTGTGACCAATGAGAAGTCCCGTTATTGTTCTGACTTGGTTCCTACTCATCTCGAGTAGTTCTTCAGATTCATTTTTCGACCGTTATTTAATGAATACTTTCCCGTGGTGCATGTGACGGACTTCAGTCCTGGAACCCATAACAGGGTAATTTCGTTATGTTCTGACAGGACATTGACTTCTTCTTTGCATTCTCGTACCAACCTGGATGTCGAGAGCTTTCAGTGACACCTGGCTATCGGTGCATATTTTGATTCGTGAATCGCGCACTTCTCTCATATTGTTTGTTCTTGCACATTGCAAGATTGGGTACATTTCCGCTTGAAACACGAAAGTGTTTATTCCCAGTGGAGATGAAAGGTTCTTTTGTGTTACACCTGACGACTAGTTCAAGATTGACAAGATTGAAGGGTTTTCTTATTCCCGATGGAGAGATGTGTAATGAAGTGTTTTTGACCAGCTTCATTACTAGACTGGTTTTGATCAAAATCTAAGTACCTGAGCCTGATTCTAGTTGAATTTCACCTGTTCGAAAGCTCGAAACCTGAAAACCTGAGAGAGCTGAGTAATACATTGATTTCTGACTTCCCACAGCTTTTCCTGATAGTAAACTCTCATGAACATCATCACAACCCTAAAGACTTCCATATTTTCCAACCCTTTGCTTATGATATGAAATTAGATGAATTATCTATCTGTTGAAATGCTTGATGTTTGACTGCTCATAAGTTAGTTGTTATTGAATATTTTCCAGCCAAATTCATTCAGTAGAATAAGCAAAGGTAGTAGATTCTGTTCCTGTGCCCATTTAGGGTGTAATATTATTTTTTCCGCGTTTTGTGTTGGAGGTGCACATGTGTTTTTCAAGGACAGGTTTAGTGGCCATGGCCATGAGCCATGACAAGGTGGGAGTTTTGACCAATGAGATTCCAGATTTACTTGTCCTTGTGCCAAGGCCAAAGCAGTGCATAAATACTGAAGACAGCCAAGGATTCGTGACTCTCTAAGCTCTTCTCGACAAGTCTACACTACCTGATCTCCGTTGCTCTTCAAGCTCCTGATTCTCTTGCTGATCTTTTAATGCTCTCATAGTTCATTCAAAACCAGTGTAAAATATTATTGTATAGTGATTTCCTGTAGCACATGTAGGTAAGTTTGTATCATAGTTTTTACCATTAGTATTCATCCTGTTTATAGCTTCATTTCATTCCTGTTGTGTTTCAAACCGATACTCACCCGACCTGTGTAAAGAATCCAGAACTCTAAATTGAATAAACGGATTTTGTGATTGCATATTTCATATTTCCTTCTCTGTTGTCATTGTTTTCAGTTCCCAATAGTTCGATATTTATTTAGTGATTTTCAATATTTTCATTTGTCAAATTTCTGATTATTATTATTGACTGACGGCTGACGGTGACGGCTGACACTGACAAGCCAGTGGTCAACTCTTCTTCTTCTTTTCCTTGAGAAATCCTGTCCTGTGCATCCGGGTCTCTGTGCTTTGTGCCCCGTCAGGCGGTGATCTATGTTTCATGAATTTTTGACATGAATGAAAAAATATAATTAATTAACCTCACTAAAATACCGAGATTCGAAAATTATAAAACCGAAGGAAAAAGAAAGATAAATAGGAATTGAATCTGTTTGATTCGTTTGAAACTGTGTTTCTGATTCTCCAGATAGAAATGATGAAATAGTTGAATAAATAATTTTCCAGACCTAACCTTAAAACACCCGAAAGATAGTTGTTTTGATTCCTGTACTTATCCAGACCGGAAATAGCAACCAGTATTCCAGGCTAAACCCAGGGTTTGTAATTAAAGCCTACACTCCCGTGGCTACTTATTGATTCCAGGTCGATTCAATACCATTGACCCCTGGTTTATACTGTAGGTACCGAGGTAGGTATACCTCCTTTACCTTTCTCCACTGTTGCTACTTTGGGCCTCCTTCCCGACTAAGTTGGGAGGAGCAGGTGAAGTAAATCACCTTTATCAAAAATCTGGCGCTCGAGAATCCCCCCCTGTCAAATACCAGAGTAGTCTCCTGTCCTGAACAGAGCGTCAAAGTAAGGGCCCCAGAATAAAGACCCTTACAGATGTATTGCGTAGTGTACTAAGATGAGCCTTATGTATCCACAAAAGTTGGAATCAACTGCTACTACGAATCACCATAGGTGGAGTCGTAGGAAGCTGGCAATATATTTTTTTATTTTGTTTCAATAGGAAAGTTCATGAAGAGGAATACAAAAACCTGCTGGACAACTCAGAGAAACTCACCACCCCATACGATCTCCATATGACTCTCCAGCACATCCTCTCTCTGTCAGATCCGAAATACACCGAAATCCAAGCGGAAGGTTGCCCTTTGTGCAAGTCCCTCTTCAAAAAAATCAGCCCTGATAGATCGTGCGACCAAGCAGGCGTCCCCCAGCACTACTGCACCTGTTCTCTATACGTCAAAATCGATAAGAACTTGCCACTGGTCAGGGAAGTAGCGCAATTCTTCGTTGGTTCCCTCAACGAAAAAGTTGGTTCGTACGGTGCTGAAGCCAGTGAGTGCCGTGAGTACTCCTTGCAGGATATCACTCATGCTCAGTTATTGGTGATTGAGGAAGGCAAGGAAGAAAATATTTTGATTAGTGTCGTCACGAATCCAGAGGCTAACTTCGAGGGGACAGTGAAAGTTCTTTATGACACGGATGGAAGTTTCCAGTTGTCTGTTTCGAACATCAACAGGCTGGATAGGTATGCTCCCAAAACGTATTGTGTGAGAAATTCGCCAGTGCAAATATACTGCTATTGTAAATCTACGTTTGATAGTTTGATTAATGTTTTTTGTAATAATAAATTCTGCTTTTTATATCTACTTGTGTTATATTACCCTATACAAAACGAGTACTGTCATTTTAGCTTTTACATATTTCAAGTTTGATATTCTAATTTCACATTTTTTATTAATTTCAGCTTCCAGATTCTTCTGAAAATATTGATGATTTACGTCAATCTGATGAGTTTAAATAGTTCTTGATATTTTCCAAAACGGCTCACATGTCTCTATCTCAACTTTTGATTTACTATTTACTAATATTCAATTGGAACAGATGCAGGGTGATCAGAATTCTGAATCTTGAACCACTCTGTATCTGTTCCGATTGAATATCAGTATAAAAATTGAATCAAAAGTGTGCCGTTCTGACCGATAATGAATAGTTTCGACACAAAGTTGAAAAATCTCGATGTCGAACACCCCATATCTCTGTAATCATTTTCGATAGACCCCAAGTGTGATGCATGGATGAAATCAACTCTTCAGGAAAAATTTGGCAATGCGATAAAATACAGGGTATTTTATTTGAAATATCAATGTTGCTACTACTTTCTAGTAGAAGCGGCAACACTGCATTGTCGAAAATATTTAATGTGCGATGTGCTTACTGTGCGTAAAGAGCTACTTACTGAGGCCAGCGTTAGGGAGTACTGAATCTATTACTATTACATCTAGCTCAGTACGCAAATACGACAACAGATAAAACCTACATAATCTAGTACGTTCTTTGATTTCATCCATATTAATGTGGTTTATAATGATGATGTCATCAAGGATATGAGTAGACCAATGAATTCGCATCTGAAAAAGACAATTCACGTGTCTGAGCTTTTTTTACAATTTACATATCAAACTTTTGATAAATCTGGTCCAACTCTAACGTGCCCACTGTATAAGAATTCACCTTTTATTTCTGTCAAAAATATTCATGTTGTTTTATTTCACATTTTTATTATTGACTGAGTTATTCATTTCGTTCCATTTTTCGCTATTGTAGTGAAATGGAAAAACAAATGAAAATCAGAACATCAAAATTTGAAATCCTTTCAATTCAATATAATATCGAAAACAAATGGAAAAATCGAAAATTATCAGAAGTGCAAAGTTATCCACTGGAACATTTCCTACAAATTTATATCCAAAATTTTTTCTGTAAACCCAATAAGTACAGGAAATAAAGTAAAAAATATGAAAAAAAAATTTAACGACCCATAGGTTACCATGAAGGTATATTGAAAAACAAAAGATTATCGATAGATGAAGATCATCGACTTCCACGGAACCATGAAATATGTTTTCCTTTTGTTGATTGGAAGATGGAACAAAACTGTTGAAAATTTTATTCTCAGATGATTCCAAATATCTCGAAAACAACTGAAAATTACTGAACATGTTATGGAACCAAAATTATTCCTTTTGAGAGAATCTACAAAAACTTCTCATAACATTTTTCTCTGAATTCAATTGTTCGGGAGATACGATGAAAAAACTAAAAAATTTACAAGTTCCTAGATAATCACTTGCCAATAGAAATCGAAACAGAAATCAAAAGAAAGTAAAAAAGCACACTCGACTGTCTTGATTTTTTCCCATATACTACTTACCTAGCTCACTCGACTGTCTTTATTTTTCGCCAATAAACTAGGTACCTAGCTCACTCGACTGTCTTAATTTTTTGCCTATAAACTACGTACCGATAGCTCACTCGACTGTCCTGATTTCCCACAAAGAAGAAATATGTTGGCAAAGTTTCAACTTTCTTTTGTTTTTGTTTTTTCAGTCCCTATTGGCAGTCGAGTGGGCTAGGTACGTAGTTTGTGTGGAAAAACCAAGACAGTCGAGTGGGCTAAGTACGTAGTTTGTGGGAAAAATCTCCAGTTCTCTGAACTTTCATAGCGTCGTATACATATCTTTGGTGCCCAATGATAGTTTCAATATAAAAATATGCTCATGATATGGTGCCATGGCCTCTACTTCCATCTTACATGTGCAATGATAAAATATCATCTGCTTTTATAGCGTCGTATAAATTATCTGACCCCTATACTAATCTAATACCTAATGAAAACTACATCTATACTAATCTGATACCTTTCAAAAACTACGTACCTCACTCGTTTCAAAACTACCCAAATGAAGATTGATTTTCAATATTCCTATATTTTTTTCATCACATGTCGAATCTAGTACGATCTTTTACAATTGCGTACTAGATTTTAGTACGAAGGTTCGCTACTAAAAACCCAACGTTGACTGAGGCTGTATCTCGTGTGTTTTTGCCTACCCTCTATAGTGGCCTTAGGTGAAGATAGTGAAAGCTCGTTGTGACATACCCCGTCAGGTTTTTTTCGAAAGTCTGGCATTTCTTGAATTTTTTCTCTATAAGAACTCCACTTGAGCTGACTATTGGGAAGAAGTATTCGCATGTTTCGTGGAGGACAATGAAAGACGAAAAAAACACTTTTTTGGAATATACAGGATGATAAGAAAATAGGACAAAATCTTATTTCAGTAAAAAAAATCAAAAATGGTGACTAAAACTATGGCCCATTCGATTCAGTATATTCAGAAACGGCCTTCTCGATATCCATTATTTATATTAGTATTAGACCATCAACTCGAAAACTATCCTCTAATATAAATACAAGATGAAAATTTTCAATTCAAACTTGATTCTTGATATCGATGATCCCTCGTTGGTATATCGAGCCGTACAAGTTGCAGGGATGTCTTTAAAAACTATAAAATTTTAACCCTACCTTCATTATTCATTTTTGAACTCTCTGTATACTCATTCGAGAACAGAGGCACATTATTCAGAACCAATAAAGTCAGACATCAATTTGATACCCGAACCAAAAATTACCTTCATGTACCTTTTAATAAATATAGCGTATCATTCAACTCTCCTTCCTCTATGGCGCCCAGGATATTTAATAAATTGCCAAAATATATAAAAGAAAGTAAATGTATTAAACTGTTCAAGAAACAATTGCGAGAAGTTCTAATAGAAAAATGTCTATATAGTGTTGAAGAGTTTATGTCATAGAACTGTTATGTCTTGTCTGTAGGCTTTTATTCTGACATGCATGTTTGTTTTAGGATATTAGTAAGAAAATTCCTATTTTAATTGGTATCTTGACTTCAAACCTGTGATTTTTCGTGTTTGTACATTTACATTTACCTAGATTTAAGTTATTGACTATTCCTATACAATGTTGTGTTGTCTACTGGAAAATAAAGATCTTATCTTATCTCATCTTATCTTATCATTTTATCAACTGATTTCCAATATTTATTGCCCAAGTATGAGGCACAGAGAATCGTTGTTCAATATACTGAGTGTTTCACAACTTATCTGACAAATTACGAACTCTAGAAAACAATAATGTTAGAAGAATGCAGAAGAATGTGGTGACCAGCATTATCTCCAGATCTGAATTTGATTGAACATGTGTGGAGCCGAATGAAACTCAAACTATCGAGAAGGCGAGAGGCACCCCAAAATAATGACAACCTTATCCAAGCTGTATCAGAAGAATGGGAGGCAATATCAATAGACTTCATCAACAACCTCATAGAATCTATGCCAAACCGATTTCATGAGGTTTTGTTAAATCGGGGAGGCCTACCAAGTACTGAAATTCAGGATATAGGACTTTCTAGTTGGATCTTCATAATGCTGAAGAATTCACTAATGTCATATTTCGTCAATAGAGCCCTTTTTGAATAGTTCTAGTGGATATAAAGTGTTTCAAATTTTATTTTTCATCTCATTTTACTTCTATAATTTTTTTCGTGATAGACTCCATAGTTTATATCGAAGTTGTGGTTGAAATTCGTCAGATAAGTTGTAAAACACTCAGTATATTGAACAACAATACTCTATGTCTCTTACTTGGGCAATAAATATTGAAAATCATCGATATCAGGAAACAAGTTTGAATTGAAAATTTTCATCCTGTATTTATATTAGAGGCGAATTTTCGAAAACGTCTCGAGTTTAATAGTCTAATATAAATAATGGATATCGAGAAGGTCGTTTCTGAATATACTGAACCGAATGGGCCATAGTTTTAGTCACCATTTTTGATCTTTTTTTACTGAAATGAGATTTTGTCCTATTTTCTTATCATCCTGTATATTCCAAAAAAGTGCTTTTTCCGTTTTCCATTGTCCTCCACAAAACATGAGAACAGTTCTTCCCAATAGTCAGTTCAAGTGGAGTTCTAGAGAAAAAAATCAAGAAATGCAAGACTTTCGAAAAAAAATCGAATTTTTGTTCCAATGGCCAATTAAGCAGAAATCACGAAAACTTCCCGAGATGAGGTCCCAGTGTATCATAATATGACTGACTTTTGATCAGAAAAAAATTTCTCGAGTTCTGGCAGCATTGGAAATGTAGACCATAGTATGTAATGGTTCCACTTTACACCTTGTGTAAGTTTTGTTCTGTGGACTTTTTCAGAGTGTTCTAGCTCTCTTTGAAGCCGATGAAACATCACATCTGATATCGAAAACTGCATGAAGATCGGTCAATTTTTTTCAAAAAATACAGGTCCTCGAAATAAAATCAAATTATGAGTGGTGCATTTAGTGTGCTGAGAACTGTATATCGGCCCAGTATGAAATCAGAATTCAGCCAATTTGATCTCTGAATCTTATTTTCCATATGACAGACTTCATGAAGGACACTGTATAATCAAGACAAGCAGGATAGATGTCTTCTCGGGAAAAGAAGAGACCATAATGAAACTTATGTCTCTCGTAGTGCGATTCATCACAAATTAATAATCCTCCCGACCAAGCACCATAACTCAGCCATAAGTGTCTCGGGCTGAAAACGAGAAACGTCTCACAAAAGCTCGCGAATATCACTATTACCGTTCGAATTCACAAAAACAATAGACAAGTGTCTGTATATTACCGCGAATAGGAGGACACTTAAACAGCCAGCTCAGATTGAGCGTTTAAATCCCGAAGACAAAAAGGTCCCCACAAAGACAAAGTATGCCGAGTGGAAAGCTGTCGCTTCATTCCCTGGAATTTGTTTCGAGGTATCAGTACGGGCAATGGAGTTGAAAACTAGGCAACTTCTCTGAAAG